CCCTGGCGCTACTGCTGCTGTGCGAATGGGACTGCCAGCACTTTGTTGTCATCTCTATTGTTGTTGTCTCATAAGCCCTAACATGCTCCTGTTATGCTGCAATTATGTCAACAATTGACTCTGTGTCAGCCAGTTGATTTGGTATTGAACGTGCCGCTGAATAGATCAGGCTCCAATAAACTTAAAAACGTAAAGAGATTACATACTTAACTAGAATTTGGGCGGGTGTGGAATAAAATAATAAGCGACTCCAAGTGAAGTTTAGCGATTTCAAAAATTAATAGATTGACAGCAATTTTATTTCCTTTATTTATATCCTCGACTGTAAGTCAATCAAACATTGATTGCGAAATGAATAGTGGTATATTTGAATGTACATTCTACGTTTATACTTCACTCTATTTTTAAGCTTTTTTAAGTGAATGCATTTTTTGATGACTGCAAGAGTATTCTGGATTTTATTATAAGTATCTTCACTTAATTATTGTGATGAGAGCATAGTACGAGCCAGTGCTCAGCCACTCTAGTTCTCCTGTCTTGAACACTCCTAGTGCGCATTTTGTTGCTTGAAAATATTATATTGTGGCAAAAGCTCTTATTTCTAATAAATGTGGATGCCCAAGCACTTACAACAAATTGCCATAAATAAGTATGTACATATGTATGTCTGAGACGGGTGTGTGTGTGTGAGTGTGTGTTCTGCCTACTGGCCACATCTTAACTTATTGGCCAGGGCCAAAACGCACTCAAGCTGCCAAGCAGCGACAACTGCAGCCGACTCCTGGCTTATTTATGCCTTTAGCCAAGCTCAACAACAAACAGCAAGAAGCTGCAAAAAATAAAAAAGTGAAACTATTGTAGCCAAAAAGTCAAGTGAATTTCCTTTGCTGGCCAAACACACAACAAAAAACCGAAACACACACACACACACAACCACAACCACACAGWCACAGAGAAACAGAACACGCAGCCGAACGAAACCGAACAGGATGAACGAGTTGCTCGCATTGCCATGAAATGTACTTTGTTATGAATTTTTGTTACATCCTTTTTCGCTTCTCGTTTTTCGTTTTTTCTTTTTTGGGCTGCTTCTTCGCCTCCATTTACTTCCTTTCTGCAATGGCAGCAACGGCAAAGCCAACAACAAAGATTAGACGAAGGACGCAAACACATCCGTAAACAATTTGTGCATGCCCCTTTATTCTCCTTTTTTCTAGCTACTCTGCTATATCTTCTTTGTGTTTATTTCAATGCGACGCTTTTTGATAAGCAAAATAAAGAAATACACAGAGAAATTGAAAAAGCTGCCACCCACAGACATAAAAAATTGTAGCAAAAAAACAAAAAATGTAATGGAAAACAAATGAAAAATAAAACAAACAAAGCACAAACACTAAGCGATTCATTGGTTAAATGGGGTGCACACAGTGACAATTGGCTTTGCAGATTTAAATATGCTCTACAATTAAAATGAAGCAAGAGAGCAGCAATAAAGAGGAGCTTGTGCCTCGGCTCCTGCAACTTTAAGTATTAAGTATTAGGTATTAAGTATTATGTCAGCTCCACTAGGAAGGCAATAGAAAACATTCTGATCATTGCAGACCTGACGGATGGGATACTTGGCCTCGGGTTAGCGGGGGGGACACGGCAAATCGCAGCCGCACAGGCAACAGCTGCCTGCCTTGACATTAAGATTGCCCTCTGACAGAGACGGATTGCAAGCGAAGGGGTCATGCGAAATCAGTTTGCTGTTATTTTGTTTATTTTATTTTATTTTTCCTTCTTTACCGCTGTTGCCGGCGGCGTGCTGCCTTTCGACCCTGTGCTCTTGTGTATTGAGTCTTGTTTATATGCGTGTTTATATGTCCTTTATGTACATTTGGAAAAGTCAACGTAATTTTTTCATTCGTTTCCATTCGCTTATTTGCCATTTCATTTCCATATGCGCAAGGCAAATAAGTAAACAATTGAAGTTTACTTTTCAACTTGGAGAGTGTGTTGTTCGTCTGTGTGTGTGTGTGTGTGTGTGTGGGAGTACAATGTTGTTGGTGCTTTTTTGACAGCCGCGCTTGTATTGTAGTAGGCGTGGCAGGGCACATCCTTGACAGGGCGCACGGCAGCCAACAACTTCACTGGCTCAGTGACATGTGTGAAATGTTTGCCGTGTTTCGTATCAAGTTTTGACACACAAAAGGCGCTTGGCAAATTGACAGCCAGGCCAAGTTGACAGGATTTGCGCGCGAAAGGCTTTCGCGGAAATATCGACTTAGACGCACTGGGGCGAGGTATGTAGGTGCTGCTGGGGATAATCGACAGGCTGTCATTTTGTTTACACTAAATTTCAATTAAGGCTTGAGTCCTCGCTCACACTGACGTGCTGGACACAAATGCAAATAGTACTCGACGCCGAAAAACCAAGGCGCGACAGCAACAATAACAACAACAACAACTGAAAGAACTCGGGAAACAAAAACAATTGCAAATGCTGTCGCCAAACAAATCTCAACAAACTTTGCGAAACAGTTTTATGCGAGAAAATGAAGCCACTTTTGGCAACAGAATAACAACAATCCGCTGCGTGGGCTACGGCTGCAAAGTGCGACTGATCAGCAGAGGCTGAGGCAGCGGCTGGGGCTGAGGCATAGCTTGTGCGGATTTTCTGACTGGATTTAAAATGGAAATTATTTGAGAAATCCAATTCACTTTATTACTTTGGGGCATACGCAAAGTAAAACAAAAGCAGCAGCAACAGCTACAACAACAACAACAACAACAAGAACAACAATAGCGGCAACATAAAGAACAGCCGCAGCAACAACAGCGAGACCCAACGACCATAAAAATTAATGCAATAAAAACACATGGCAAGCGACAACAGAGAAAACACTCCACTCAACAAAAACTGGCGTCAAAATGAGCCAAGTTTCTGGCGAAGAAAAGCCATAAGAAAAGCCAAAGTTAAAATCTGAACAACCAACAGCTAGGCGAGATATGAAAAGTCTATTTTTCCTGCAGAAAGGAAAAACAGAGAACGGCTCATAGTTCATAGGTCATGGCATAAGTAGACCACGATTTCATATATTTTGCTTATATTTTTGATCAGCCATTCGCAGTTGGGCCTCCGCTTGAAGTGAGTAATATTCAGCACGTGGGCTCTCCATTATGTTCGGAATAAGTAGGTTTCTAACCTTTATAATGTGTCACTGCCTGTCAGAGGAGACGACGACTTCCGGCAGCCCCAGCTCCAGCCGAGTCCAACTCCACTAATCGCTGCCATGGTCTACTCATTTTCTAGTCTACTCATAATTATACCACACTATTTGGTCGCTTTTGATGACTGTAAGTCAGAAAGCCTCCAATAATGGGGTTGATGTATATGTATAATCCCTAATGAGCGCTCAAATACAAATTGATATCAGATGCTCGTTTATTTATGTGTGTATGTATATACCCGGTTTTATATTCATATATCAAGTGATATTCGATGGATGAGTTGCCTTAATGACTGCTAGGAATGGCTGCAGCATTGCCTTAATGGAGACTCAGCTCCTTAATAGTGTGGCAAATGGTTTTTATTACTTTAATAAAAAGCATATAGAAAAAATTTTGTTTTTTTATTTTATTAAAATAATTGAAATATAATTACTGTGAGGAATTTTATGCTTTCAATTTAGTATTAAATAGTTCGGTTGACATTGCGATATCAAATATTTTGAAATTAACTAACTAATGTTTTTGTCACTCAATATATGATTTTTTATGACCCAGTCACTGGAGTGCTGGAATTCTACAAAGTATGTAAGTATGTAAGAGTAAGGTAAATGTGAAACTAAAATTTTTGTTGGAGCTTTTTATACCGTAATATATAAAATATATAAATAACATGCTGCGAATACTGAAAACAAAATACTTGAATCTGAATTCTGCAAATGTAACATATTCACATTCATAAAAAAAAAACCCGAAAATTCTTTTGGGATTTTATACTAAGTTCAATTACCATTTTAATAGTCAATGCAAAATTTGAAAAAAAAAATAAAAATAAATAAAAATTATTCTTTTATATAAATTATATGAAATATGTAGCCGATTTGTTGCGATGTTGCAAATGTAGTTAATATTATCAGATAATAATATATATATATAAATATTTTTAGTTCTTATAGTAGCTAGCGGGCACAGATCTGTTGAGTATGTAAATCGCCTTTTGCGCAATTGATGTAGATAAGACAAACTCAATGCCTGCCCTGGATGGCTGATGTTGAGGTTGGGTTGGGGTTGGCCTGGTTTCAGTATCTTGGGGCTGTTGGCCTGTATTTGACAGCAATTAACAGGAGCAGAGGGTCATAAATATTGTGCCTTAGCTGCCTTTTGTTGGCACTCCTGCGGATATTCTTGCCTGTTGTTTACTCTGTCGGCATGCTTGATTGAGCTTGAAGCTGCGCCTCATAAAATCTGCGCCCGAGTCGAGCGCGTAATTATACTTTTCAATTATGCATAATTATGTGCAGAGAGCAATTTGTGTTTTGTAGCTTAAAGTTGAAAGTTTAAAGTGCAGCGGCAAAGGCCCGCCCGCTATCCGGTCCCGTTATGCGATATCCCCTGGGCGGACTAAGGCGAGGCGACCGCATTCACATTTTTGTTCGCCTTCCGCTGCCCCTGCTGCGGTTGGCATTGGCCATGTCGTTGGCAAGGACGAAAACAAAAACAAAGACAACATGAACGAGAATGGGAACGCAGCTCAGTGCAGCGCAGCAGGCAGCAGGCAGCAGGCAGACATAAATCAGGATTTTCGCAGCCTGGGCCACAAATGCTTTTTAAAGGATTCGCCGTGGGTGCTGCCATAGCGGCCGCAACCACAGTAATAACTTGGAGGGTTCGTTGTAGTCGACAATCGCCGATAATCTTATGCATGCTTAAACAGGATTCGATATGTAAGTATGTGTGTGTGTGTGTATGCAACTGGGGCTCAAGTGTTGTGCCCCAGACTTGCGACTTACCCATCATGCAGCAGAGCAGCGTCGAAAGGGTCAACATTCTGCTTGGTGGGGGCATCCAGTGCCGTGTGTTTCAGGCTTTTTGTCTGTTGTCTCTTTCTGCTCTCTCTCTCCCTCTCTCCTTCTCTCTTTTTGGATCTCTTTGTCGCAGGTGTGCTCCTTGAATATCCCGATTATTCGCACTGTATCGCTCGCACTGATACTTTCGCTTGGCCAGCTAGTTTTTGCTTAATTTCCACTATCGAGTAACAGTTTGTTAGCTCCAAGTGTTTTTATATCTGCACTATTATAGTTTTATTACGCTTTTTTGCATTCTCACTGTAAACGATACTATTATTTGGATGCAGCCACACACACACACACACACACAGCAGCAACAGCAACGATAACAACAACAATTACAGCTCTCCTGCTGCTGCAGTTGCCTCTCCTCCTGCCGCCGCTGCTGCTGCTGCTGCTGTCGCCTCTCATGAATTAAACACTCGCAATGACATTTAAAACACTTAATTCCAACGGCAGACAATTTAATCTTTTAACGTTTGTTTGTTTTCAACCTTTTCCCGTTCGCTCCCGTTTGTTGTTGTTGCTGTTGTTGTTTGTGTTGCTGCCTAGGCCAAATATCATTATTTGTTTTTCCATTTCCTTTTTAGCCTTTTATTTATGCCATTTTGTTGTTGCTCTTTGTTGCTTTCTGCCGTTTTTTGTCGCCCCTTCCAAAGTAAATTGATTTTGTCAGCTCTCTGAACTTAAATTGATTAAATTTATCATTGTTTTTATAATTCTGTTAGCCCGAACGCATTTACGCATTTCCACCTAATAAAATCAACTGATTGAAAGCCTTGAAAAATACAAAAATAATACAATAAAAGGTGTGGCTTGGCATGTGTCTTTCTCCATATTGATCGTTTGCATTATTCATAAAAATAAAATATTTCTTTTGCTTTCATAAATAGACTGTGTAGGCGTTGCAGGATATTTTTAATGCACAACTAGAAACATCGAAGGTGCTGTAAAAATAAACAATTTATGAAACAAGCTTACTTTACATATAAACTATTATTAACGCAAGTTTCTTAGAAGTTTGCCAGCTTAATTATCATCTGAAGTCGTTTTTCTCCCCTAAAATAAAAACCAATCGACTCGCTGCACGCATTCAAAGAGGAGCTCTACACTCCCTCTATAATTAGCAAAACTTTTACTCGGGGTGCATATTCTATGAGTCGAACCGACACGCGTGTCTGCTGGGCCAATCCGAAAATAAATCTGTTCACTAATAAAGGAATCAACGTTCCAAACATATCAGATGAGCACGCAGTTATTTACATACATATTTGTGTGTATTTTATTGCATATGGGCGTCTGAGTCGAAAGGGGATGCATGTTAGATTGACCTGGGGGCTCGTCACGTCTCAAAGTGGAAGCCCGCCAACTGTCGCCTCGCCCCGGGGGTAACCTTTGACTACCCTTGGCAGCTTTGGCAATCCTCATATATATTCGAATTTATTCACAAGATGTCGTCTAGGTATCAATCAGTTTGACCTGCGGCAGGTTCAAGTTTTCTCCCCCAGTGCCTGCTGCCTCAGCTCTGCTTGAGATTTGTTTGTAATTTGTTGATCCCATTGTTGGCTTTCAGTTCAGTTCGCACGGCACTTAGCGAAAGGTGGAGTGCAAAATTAATTAAAAGCTAATTAGTTGCAAATTTTCAGCAGTACCTTCAACTAATTACGAGCTCTGGGTGGTGCTGGGTGGGGCAGCGCTGAGGGCCAACTCAAAGGTACAATGACTGACAGCAGCTGATGCTGCCCTCTGCTAGACTTCAATCAGCAGCAGAAGCCTCTTAGCCAGCTTAGTCAGCCCCGTGCACCGTGCCCCGATCACCGCTCCCCGTGCCCTGTGCCCTGTGGGGGCCACTTGTCACTGTTGCTTCCGTAATGGAATTAGAGACAGGACAGGCAGGACCAGGCAGGCAGCGAGCTGACTGAAAGGCACGGGACCACGCTAGTGCTCCTGTGCCACTCAAAAGTGTTAACGCACTCAGCTTCTTTGTGTTGTTGGTATATATATTTATACACATACATGTACACATATATACGCGTGTCTAGTGTGTGTAAGTGTGTATGTGGCTTGGTAATTGTTGCCTAAGGCTGTGAGAGCTGAAGTGACGTCCACTTGTCGCACTTTCTCTCTTACACTTTACTCTGTCTCTATCTCTCTCTCCCCCCTGCCTCTCTCTCTCTCTCACTCTTTCGCTTTGCCCCACAAATTATGAATGTTTGTGTAATTGTAAACGTCTGCAGTTTGTTGCTCAGCTTTTGAGCATTTTCCTATCCCCTTTGGCGACGCTTAGCATTATGCTCAGTATCCGTGATTAGATGATGAGCCCTTCATTGCCCTTCCCCCGTTGCGTTTAACCACTTCCGCATTGCTACTGCTCGGGGCAGCACCGCGCATTGTTCATGAATATTTTATTGATACAATGGCCATGTGTGTTGATTTTTGGTTAGTGTCCGTATTGTTTGCCTATTTAGCTAAATTGAAAACAATTTACCCTGATTTTTCTTACCATTCTACTAATCGCCATGGGCGCATCGGGAGTTCTTTCACACTACAGTTAAAACTAAATGCCATGTTGAAGCAGAGAATCATCAATAGTCGAGCATTATTTATTCAAGAAGTATGCAAGATCTAGTGGAGACTGCTTGACTAACCCTTAGTTCAAAGAAGGTATATTGCAGTAATTACACGCACGTGTCATATCAACCATAAGCATACGTTCTACAGTTGCTACTCGATCTGCGACTGCGTTCGAGTTGCAATTTGGACTATGCTTTGGGAACATATTTGTTGGAAAACTATTGATCTATTTGATAATAATAACATTCAAGTTTGTATATTTCCCAATGCAAAGTCAGTTAGGTTAATCTTAATAATGCAAAGTTTGAAGACTCTAGCTAGACATATGTACGAGATATGATATAATACCTTCTTTTCGATACAATTATAAATCGATGACACTAAAGCGGAATACGTTATCAATTATTTTAAACTAATTTCAAGTCTTTATCTCTAATCGGCTCTGAGATCGATGCGTTCACACGCACGAACAGACAGACAGACAGATGTAAGGCTATACCAACTCAGTTCTTCGCCTAGATCAAGAATATATACATACACATTTTAAGGTCTACCATGCCCCCTTCTGCCTGTTGTATACATTTCAATTAAACCTATATCCTCATCTTACCATTTTCAATGGTGTCAGGGCATAAAAACAAAACGACCTCCGTTTGTAGTGGCATTTGAAAAGTAATAAATTATTTATGCGAGCATTGAGCATTTCAATTTATGTATATTTACTGATTGAATTGCAAAATATTCAATTCCCTTTCTGCATCGTACACTTTCACAGAGTTTGCCATTGAAAGGCTTGTCCCAATTTTCAGCTCTTTCTGACTTTTGTCTTGTGACAGCTCGAGTCCAGATAAAACAACAAAACTAAACTTGGCACTTGGGTGTTTGTTTCTCTGTCGCCGCTTTTGCTGATGTGTGCTCTTATTTTTAAGAACTCCGCAAAAGTTTTCTCGCCTGTCTTCAACTGCTAAGTGCAACAATCAGGAGTAAACTTTTTTGGCGAACAAAAGCAGCTTCAGCAATAGCTTTTACTGTCTGCTTGTCTGTGGGACAACATTACGTATGTGCTACAAATTCGTTTACGCAACGCGCATACGCACTGTGCGCTCGCTGGCGATCTCAGCCACCCCGCTTAGAGCCACCGCGGCCGCGTTGTTTGGCACATTTTTAAGTTAATTTTTTATGTGTTTTCTATTAATTTTCGTCACTCGTCCGCCACCGCGGATGGCTATGGAAATATTGAATTACAAAATATTGCCGCTGGGGAAACGTGTGTACGCAATTTGTTTTGACGCGCTTTCCATTTATCGGCCGTACTAAAGATCAAAGACGATTTAGTACACTTTCGAGGTGCTGGTATTGAGTTCTGTTTTTAGTTTGTTAATTTATGTTGGTGTTGTGGAGCTGATGGGCTAAATATAAAACAACTTAATTTGCTGACTGCTAATGAGGCAGACTGCTGCGGAGGGGCGCGAGTGCGCTGCCAGCGGGAAGGGCAGGGCAGGGCAGGGCAGGGCAGGGCAGCAGCAAGTCGTTGTCGTTGTCGTTGTGTAGGCGTAAACACATTTTTATTTGTTGTGTGTGCGTTTTGGTGCTTTTATTTTATTAGTTTCGTCTTTTGTCGCCCGCCACTGCTAACAAGTTGCGAACACGAGGCGGGCACCGAAAAAAATCGCATATAATTCGAAACGATATCATAAAATATTCGCGTGCGTCGCGCGCTTTAGTAAACTGCCCCAAAAGACATAAGCTAACGGCACTAACAACAATTCCAGCAACATTGCCAGCAACAATGCCAACAACAATAGCAACAACAATGGGCCTTTCAATTTCTTCTCCTGCCAAGCCGGCAATGAGGCAATGAGGCTTTTCCTGCGTTTTCACACGTTCGAAATTTACGACTTTGGCTTCTTTTTGAGTCGTTCTTGAGATGTTGGTCTCAGCTTTTCTTATCCACAAACACACACACATACATAACATACACACTCACACAATCACGTACGATTTGCCACACTGGGGTCGATGCAGCTACTTTTTGCTGCTCACGTTTTTATTTTTTAAACTCGAGTTTTATCAACTTGTTTTTGTTATCGAAATTGAACTTGGATCCGACTGGGGATTCTGTTTCGCGCGCGTGACCCGCTGCGCCTGTCTCGCATGTGCTCACTGTCGCAGTCACACACAAACTGAAACAGAAACTTATTTTGGGCCTTGCACTTGCCAGCCAGCGCCGGACGAGTCTTAGCCTCCTCCATTATCAGGATGAAGCCTCGTGTTGTTGTCGGTTGTTGTTGCCCTCGTCTTCGTGTCTAGTGCCCATCGCCAGCCCTGCTGATGTCGTCCCCGATGTGTGACAAACCCGAACGCCAGCCAGTGTCGTCAATTCGCCGCAATTTGATTCTCTTCAGCACGAGCTGTTGCTCTTCGCGTTTCCCAAAATTGTGCTCTTCATGTGTGGAGCCGTTAAATTGTTTAAAATTATTTGATTGCAATTGAAATCTAGTTAGCAATTGCAATTTCATACAAATTGTTAATATGGAATGCAGCGCATCAAATGAAATACAGACTAAAAACTGTGCATTAGTGGCAGTTTCTAAACTACACACAATTCTTTATCAATGTTCTCTATTACTATGCTTAAAGTTGGGAAAGAATTAGCACTATTCTTGATCAATATCTCTGAGCAAAAAATAAAAAGAAGAAAAAATATATTATTATCGAAAATTATTCTTAATTAATAGCTCTAAGCAAAAATTAAATAATAATCTAAAAAAAAAATAAGTGAAAAAAATTCAAGTAATCAAATAAATAAAAATAAATAAAATTATATATTAAGCGATAATTTTCTAAAAGTTGATATAAATATATGGTAAATGTTTATTTCATATGTAATTACAAATGCAAACATAATAAGCATTGAAACAGTAAATATTAATTACATACATTATCAAATTTTTTCTGTTCCTTTTATTTAAAAATGATCAAAAATACTATAATACTTATATATTTAATCAACGCGCAACGTAAAAATAAAAATAAAAAATAATAGTTAATAAATTAAAAAAACTTATAAATAATTGTCCAAAATACATTTTGGATATTTTTTTAGTTATATGTATGTATTTATATTTAATCTTAGTAAGCAGACTTTAAATTTAATTTAATTTTAAATTTATATTTAATCTTAGTGAGAAGATTAGATATAAATATAAATATAACGT